GCAGATATTATTTCACTTTTTACTTCTACAGTTGCATGAATCCATAGCATCTCGTGATGCAATATAATGCATCCTGCAAGATAAAAACTAGGTTTCCATTGCAAAATGAATCTCCAATCGAATTCGTCTCCCTATATCCGATTAGACACTTCATAACTAGTCTATAAAGTCTTATATTGTAAAGCCTTATATAATTATGGCGGATAGAAATACTTTTATACTGGCTCTGAAACTCATATGTTACGAGCCGAGATCCAGGTAGCTTCGCATGGCCGGTAGTAGGATGCGATTTTCAAATTTTGNTCCAATCGAATTCGTCTCCCTATATCCGATTAGACACTTCATAACTAGTCTATAAAGTCTTATATTGTAAAGCCTTATATAATTATGGCGGATAGAAATACTTTTATACTGGCTCTGAAACTCATATGTTACGAGCCGAGATCCAGGTAGCTTCGCATGGCCGGTAGTAGGATGCGATTTTCAAATTTTGATGAAAGGGAATTGCGTGGACTAGCCGATGTTTCTTTCGTCACCGGATCATCACTAGGAGGTAGGTTGGTAGAAATTAGAGTTTCGGGCCTTCTAACTTTTACAAAGAAGAAATGATGATACACCTCGAGCGGTAAAGGTATATCTCTGTGGGTTTGTACCAACTACTGTTTTGAATTTAGAAATGGAATAATTAAATTTGGTAGAAATGCTCAAAACAGAATCAAACTCAATCTCGCTAGCGTTGCATCGTCAGTAGCTGACCTAAAAGTAAGCCCGCTATTTAGTCGCGTTTGGACCGTCTATATACCGAAAATTTCCTTTAAAAAAGATATGGAGGGTTGCTATACATGTATATGCCCCGGTTTGAGAGAAGGTTCGTCTTCGTACCCTCTTTGATTGTACTTGACTCACGATATACGGTGCGAACCCGGCAATCTCGCAGTACGCTTAAGTTTAAGATAAGATAAAAAAAAACTTTGTGTAAAACTCGCGGAAAAAAACTGTGGAGGAATTGCAACGGCGCATCATTACAATTCTCGGACATACATCTCAAGGCTACCAAATTTATCTGAGCCTACAACGAAAATTTAAGAAATGCTTTCCGTAGATCCCGGTAATTTCTATGCGCGCTGAAATTTTTATTGATGTCGTTATTCCCACGCCAGTGTCCTGCTACAACAGATAGCACGACTACAAACGACTATACACTTTTGAACAGTGACATGGTTTCACTCTTACACGATAGGATAAATTATGGTAACCCTCGTATCGCACTGCAATATAGAATATAACACTGTTTCGTTCTAACACGATAAGAAAACTGCGAAAACCTTTGTCCGACATTGTAGTTTTACAGCACTGGATAGTATGATTTTTGCTTAACATATATAAAAACTTCATTCGTTTAAAATATTGACGGGAAGGAATAATGAACTATAGCGCCTTTACATATAAATATAATTATTATAATTAAAGGTACATGAATATATACTCTTCCGCTGAAAGAAGTCCAAAATTCAAAAAGGGAGCTGCAGCATTGTCTATCTTCATACCATGAAATCTACCACGTTTTCTAAGCAAAATTCTATATAAAAAATGTTCAACGTTCGATTATGAGTTGAAAAAATATTCGTATAAGAAACGACAGATAGTGAATACGACGGGAGATACATTAATTTTTCTCAGAAATGTTCGGAGGCCGGAATTGAAACCGGCAGATTCGAGAATACTAAGGGCGATTCTTCAGGCCTCGCAGCTCGTTTTTATAGAATCTCGGGGCTGTCGACAAGAAAAGGCAGCGACCAGCATGCCGGTGTACATTAATATAAATACATAACAATTCTAGAATGAAAACGATGATTTAACTTTTTTATTTCTAATTTTTTGCCACGATTCGGTGGCAATTCGGAGGCCACATGCCACGATTCAAAGGCAATTCGCACTCCTCCTGCCACGATTCGACGGTCACATGCCTTGTAACTCCACGATTTTTCTTACCTGACTTAGATCCAACAAATCATTTTGCAGACCATTTTTGTATCACACGCTTGACCGATTCCGCCGATCCTTAGCATCGACATAGTAACAAATTAAATATTCGTAGGACTAGCACACGAAAATTCACAACAATCCGAAATTTGCTATTGCCGGGAGAAATTACTGTAGTTTCTCCGTCAATCCTGGAATTTTAAGTGGCCCTGGTGGACCGAAGACAGTCGATCGTCGAGGAAGAACGACATACTCTAGATACGAGTACTCCTTGAAACTCTGCGGCGATAACGCAACGAATGGCTTGCAGAAAGATGTCTAGGGAAAATACCGACGATTCTGCAGTGGTAGTGATCGAGGTAGAGGTGTGATCCTGCGAAAACAGGGATCGACTCGTCATCCTTGTCCGAATTGTAGCTTAGGCAAAACGCTATCTAGTTCGAGCTCCACGATGTATTATCATCCCTACGTAGTAGGAAATACATGTTAACATAGTATTCGCTGCATGCCTGCATTATTATTGTGTTAAACCACGTTATTTCCTACACGACAGGATTTTCATGCTGCGAGTAGACGCACAAGTACAAAATTGGAACAATAAAATCGATGATACATTTGCAACTTTGCGCAACACGTTATCCTGTGGAAATTCTGACAGAGATAATGCAATCGCGTTGCTACAACATGTCAAGATCATTGAGAT